TCTGGCCGTGAAAATGGGGATGTCAAATTTAGAAACATGTTTTGATTAGAAATTTGTTTAAGCTCATCGATCCAATGCTTTGTTAAAAATTTCTTTGAAATCATATCAAAATCAGATTTACATGTTGTTTTGTTCAACTTGTCTAGTAGCATTGGATCAAAAAGTAGCATTCTGATCCTTTTCCCGATGACAATGAGGTTTGGGCATTGCTCGTATATTTTGACATGAATCCAAAATCGTTGATATTTGAAGATTATATGACATGAATCCAAAATCATGGCTCGTATATTTTGATATCCATCACGGATGGTCCACATTAGTGTACAAAGAAAATAGATTATGTTTACACTATCACAAATTATGAAAGACTCATCGACAAATATACTGATATATCGAAAGAAGAGAAAAAAAACTTCAAAATGATCTGAAAGAGAAAACGGAGATTCGCTTTGCGCTTGCACCAACCACATTCAGACTTGTTAGCTCTTGTAAACTATGAATGACATTTGGAAAATAGATTAAGGAAATGTATTCTGGAGATGATGATCAACTTCATTCAGTTCGAACTTCACTGCTTTCGGAGCTTGGATCATTCAAGAAAAAGATCGGAGAGTCCATTGATAAAATTTTGGTGAGGTTTAATCACTTGATAAGCAGTTTGATGAAGTAATATTAAAAACCACAACCAATCAAATAGAAGGTGACGTTTATAAAAGGTCATTGTTCCGAATGGAAGCCTATTGTGTCAATTATGATGGCATACGAATAGTTTATAATGTACAAGCTATCGTAAGTTGTTGGAACTCTTAAGTGACATGAAGATGAGGTCATGGAAAGTGAAAAGTTAATTATTGATGTTAGTTGTTTAGCTTTAGCTGCGAAGTAGGAAGCTACGGAAGTGAAGAAATCAATGGAGAAGGTTGTAATTGTAGCAAATTCAAACTCTAACACTACGCGTCAAGAGCTTGAGTGAAGAGAATTCTCTTATGGTTAGAAATCTTATGAAATTTTTAAGAAAAAAGTTCTCAAACTTCAAAAATTATGGAAACTCAAGATTTGGGGGTAGACGTTTGAGTTACAAGGGAGGAAACTTATTTGCTGAGAAGAAAAAAGCAATGGTGCAAAGAACTATCATAAGGATGATAAGAAAGAGAAGAAACTCCTTGGTGATTCAGCTTACAATTGTAACTTCTTTAATGGAAAGAATCACTTTGCGAAAGACTGTGCATTGTGATAAAAATGTGACAAGAAGGAAAATAATAAGATGAAGCTTATTATGTTTAGAAGATTAAAGACTTTTGTAAGATAAAATTTCAAGGAAAAGTGTTCATCACTGAAGAAGATAATAGCGATGGAAGAAATATTGAAGTGTATTCCATAGGCTCCGAAGATGAAAAGGTTAGGAGACCAACTCATGGTGCTAGGTTTCCTTCAAATGTGTATGCAAGTATAAAAGATGGAAAATGTTTGATGGTGCGAAGTTCAAGTTGTGAGAGTCAATGATATAAATCTGAAGGAGGTAGAGTGTCTGATGCAAATTCTTATGACACTTTATTATCTCTGAAGAGCGTTGGAGAATATATTGAAGCTTGCAAGAAGGTAATAGAGAAGGTATATTCCATTCTTAAATCTCTAGATATTCCTGTTTATCATGATGATGATGAATTAAATGATCTGAAGGATACAATTCAGAATTAGGTGAAAGTCTTAGATGGAATCGAAGAAAATTTTCTAATCTTGATGATGATCTTAGCAGGTGCCATTTTAGGTGTGCATAATACATATTTAAGATTAAGAAATTAGAGGTGGATTTAGTAATAGTTAAAGATGATGTTTGTATTTTGAATAATGATAATAGAGTGATCATGAAATAACACAATGTAATTTGTCAAATTGGAAAGCATTTATACTCTCAAATAAAAAAAAATTGTCTTAACTGCGAAATCTCTTTAGAAATGCATAGAAAAATGTTACCATTCTCAGAATTTTACGAAGAAGAAATAGATGTTGAATGCTTTAAATGTGAATCTTTGATTTCATCAAACGAAACTTTAAGTGATGCTTATAGGGTTGGTTTGAAAAAGGCCGTACAATTTTTGAAAGCTAAGGAAATTAAGAAAATAATAGAATTTAATTAAGGAAGTTAAGAAAAAAATACAAAAGAATTCCAATGATAAATATCCTGTTGTGTAATTAACTGAATTCTGATGAGTATCGTAATGGAAAATTTGAATATGATTTTGATGAGAGTGATATTAGTGAGATTTCTAAAGAGGATGAAATTCATTATTATAATTTTTTGCTAACCAAAGAACAACTAAGAATAAACTTGATTTTTGAAGATTCTGTTGAATTTAAAAATGTTGTTTAAAACAAAGGAGTTGAGAATCTTATTGAAAATGTAGTTTTTTTTTTTTTCCCAAAAGTCCATTGTACTCAAAATCAAATATTTGTTATGAAAGGATTCAACAAAACTTACACTGTTGACTTGACTACTATTGTGCAAATTGATAATACAAATTCATGTGAAATTATATTTAGTCAGTTCCGATAGATAATTGTGATGAGATGATAGGTCTTTTGGTGAAAATGTCATGGAGAATGAAGGGTAGATAAATTTCTTGTGCTTAAATATTTTGTCTACTTCACATAATGATTTAGGAAATTTTGATGCTCCAATTGCAAAATCAATTCCAAAACAAAAATTTGAATCGATTCATCTGAAATGAAAATATAAAATGTGTGATCAAGAGGTTAGGTCAAAACGAGTAAGAAAGAAATAGATCAAGATAGAAGAGCTAGGTATAAGAAGAATTTAGTTGAGAGAAAGAAGTTTTGGAAAGAAAAGGAAATTTCATGCTCAAAATCTCATTTAAAGAATCTAAAGTCTAACAGTTCATCAATGTTTTCTAATCATAAGAATTATACACAATAATTTGATAAAACAAAAGCTCATTTTGGTCCATACGTTTAATATAATAAGATTGTGAAACCAAAGCAGCTTATTGTGAAAGAGAAAATTATTCCAAAGAAAGATTTTTCAAATCAAGAATATGTTTCAAAGAAGGATTTTTTTCAAAAGAACAAATATTTTTAAAAAAAGGTTTTAGAAAAACAATAAGTTGTTGCAAAGAAAAATGTTTAAAAATCTTAACTTGTTTCAAGGAAATATGTTTCACAACAAAGATTTGTTCAAGAGAAAGTTGTATTAAAAAAAAGATTTCTTCCAAACGCGGATACATCAAAACTAAAGGAAGAAGAGAATGGTTATCTAAAAGAGTTAATTCCAAATACAAAAGCATTCATTAATAAAAAAGAATACATTTTTTGAAATCAATATTTGTGATAAAATGACTAACGTTTACAAAATGGTGAAAGATGTGAATAATACATTGATTACGATATTGTTTTGGATTGATAAGACCAAGAGTTTCTTCCTGGTGCAGTTTCTAAATCTAAAATCTCACAAGGGCCGAAGAAGGGTTGGGTTCTTAAATTAGTGTGATTGTGTGGGTGGTATATGAAGAACAATACGATTTTGAATGGTACACCGATAATGGTTGTTCTCATTACATAACTGGAAGGAAATCATAGCTGATAGAGTTTCGTAGTTTGAAGGATACAGGAAGAGTCAAGTATGGAAATAATGCAACGCGTGAAATAAAAGGCTATAGAAGGATTACGAATAACGAGTTTCCTATATGAAAGGTAGTACATTTTGAAGGCTTGCAACATAATTTGAAAAATGAGTCGCAACATATAATAAGTACAGGCTTGAAAGTGTCTTTTGATAACAAAGGATCAGTGATAAGGCATAAATAATCAAACAACGTTTTCTTGAAGTAAAAAAGGAAATGAGAGATATATCCATTGGATATGAAATGAATTCAAAGGATGCCATCTATCTGCTTTGTTTCTGATAGCTTCTTTTAATGATACTTAGTTATGGCACTGAAGGATCTCACATTTTTATTCAAGGATATCACTGAGTCCGTTCTTGGTGATTTAGTGAGAGGCATTCATGTTCTGAATATGATAAAGAACATTTATGTTCCATGTGTGAATTGAGAAAGAAAAATCACAAGAGTCATTCATCAATCATGAATACTAAGATTGTTAAACCATTAGAATTGATTCATATTGATCTGTGTGGTCCATCTTTTATTGAAAGCATTTGTGATAACAAGTATATTCTTGTTATTGTTGATGATTTTTCAAGATTCGCTTGGGTTTATTTTCTTACAAAAAATTTGACACTACTGTTGAAACAATAATAACATAGATGTATATATTCTATAAGCGATGTGAACAAATAACAGAAATAATGAAGATCAAATAGTGTCGAATGCTTATATTGAATAGCTTTAAAAGTGTTCAACGTAAACTTCTCTATAAAAGCTAGGTAAGGAGATACAATCGTGAAACCCTAATGTTACATGCATGCAATATTGATAGTCTAACCCTAGAAAGCAATAAACACGGATGGACAGGACCAAACCAAAATAAACAAGACTACAGAACATATGACACAACACTTTAATAACCGAAAAATCTCCCCCTTTGTGTCAAAATGTGAATGAGATTCTTTATTGTTGCCTTTTCTAAACCTTGAATAACTTTGGAATCATATCCAGAAGTGTGTTCCGAACAACAATGTACCATTTGATCATGTCGGAAAAGCATTTCTGATCACCAACATCATTCAATTTGCACGCTTCAATTAATTCCAGGATGTAGTTCAGAGCATATGTTGAGTGTAAGTTCTTATCTAGCAAAAAGAATACACATCTCTTAACTTTCTAATCAGTTTTCCTCTAGTACACCACACTCCAGTTCTCTTTTCTTATTTTTCCCAGCTTCATCTTATTTAGATCCTTCAATTCTTCTTCTGGTTGCAGAATCAGTATCTTTTTCAGGATGGCTACGATTTCCACATCCATTTTTGCAAACTCTTGAATGTAGGAAATCAGCATTCCCTTAATATGAGCTATAATTGGCTCCTACTTTTGTTCGTATTTGGATAAAATTAGGAACAGGGAAATCCAATCATAAGGATTCATGCAAGGAAGATTAGCAAGAGTAAATTCCATTTCAGTGCGATTGGCTCCCTTGAATCCCTTAAATTTGATGTTGATTAAGATTTCGGTTGAAATGGAAGCATAAACCCTTACTGCGATGATCTTTTGTAAACACCAAGTTTGAAATTGGGGCTTTCCATATTTGAGATAAAAAGATAATAATGTTTGATTAACATCAGAATCCGAAAGATGAGCTTTTGAAATCTTCTCAAAACACTTGAATAAAAATGCCCTAGGAGTAATTGGGAAGTCAGGTTGTGATTCTGCAATGTTGTCTAACTCATAGAAAACCGAAGGCTCTAACCAATTTGTGCTTGGTTCATCAGTCGCCTCCTTCTGAATCCTTTCAAGAGTCCATGGGGTAAAGTGGGACTTTTGAGTTGCAAGAGTGACTTTCGCTTCTAACTCTTTGCGAACTCTCAAGAGATTTTCAAGTTCAACATCACGCTTCTTTCCTATCAGCTTTTCACCTTCAGATAATTCTTGTTCTTCTTTATCATCATTTTACAACTTTCTCTTTACATCTAGACCCAAAAGCTTTATTACCCTTCTAGTCGACCTTCGATTTTTTTTCATGATGCTCATCAGTATTTTGCTTTTGTTTGGGTTGTTCCTTGAGGGTTTCTTATTTAAGCATTCCCCTTATTTCGAAAGAACATCAGATTCCGAAACACCCTCTATCTTCTTAAGCATGGAAAATAACAGTGTTAGTTTTTTGGTAAGATGCTGTCGAACCGAGATAGTGAGAAATGAATCACATGTCTCAACCAGTCTTCACAAATATTGATTCACTTCCGAAACACAGCTCTTCATGAAAATCTTTTCTGATTCAAAATCATCAAGACGGTTGTTTGTGTAGTTCAGGTTTACGAAAAGAACCATAACCTACTCAGTCTTTTGGGCAAGTTTGTCCATAAGATTGTTTTCTGTAGCAAGGTCTGCCTAAAGTTTCTCATTCTTGACACAACATAGGCATTTAGTGCATCACTATTAGCCTTGATCTCAGAACAGACAGGAGAAAGATATTCCTTTTCAACTTGCAGTGTAACATCCATAAAATCCATGAAAATTTAAAAGTTTTTTAATCGTTCAAAGTCCATTATTTATTACAAAATGTTTCCAAAATAGTTTCATATCAGAGTAACACAGAAACAAAGTCATAAAAATGCGAGGAGGTGCATGATCATGCCTTCACCTTCCATTGATCACTCGAAGTACCTGAAAGAAAATCCAAAACTGTCAGCCCAAAGCTTAGTGAGTTACCCCAAAATACCAACTTCATACCAACCATAACCATATAATAACAAACATCATGCATACAAAGTCTACAATCTGACTGGACTGCCTTTACCGGGCCTTCAGTCTGTCTAGCCCACTCTTAGAACCTTCAGCCTGTCTAGTCCGCCTCACCGGGCCTTCAGCTTGTCTGGACCGTTCTCCAGGACTTCGGTCGGACTAACATGCCCCCATGGCTTGCAGTCTATCTAGGCCGCCCTGGGTATGTTGACCTACGGCACAAAGCAGGTCTGCCTCAACCCAACCCCACATACACAATCAACACATAATATCAAAAGCTATCTAGCATGTACAAACAGTCAAACCGATCTAATAGATCACTAATCATAGCATCATCCTATATACCAGGATACCGACCTAACATGTCACTAACATATCATCCTATATACCAGGTTACCAACCTAACAAGTCACTAAGCATATCATCATGCAATAACTAGGATAATAATCCAATAAGGGCTAAAAGTGGGGACTTTGACCCTGTTAGTATAATGAGGACAACTCACCTCACAATGTCTATCGAAACTGAAATGTAGAAGTCAAACTGGTTAACCTTTCGTCAAATTCAAAGTCAACGGTCAAGGTCAATAGTCCATGTTGACCTGACTCGTCGAGTGCAGCTTACTGACTCGTCGATTTCCTTCAGAACTCAAAGAATTGTGAAAATCCCAGTTGACATACCAATTTTCCAAACAACTCGTTGACTCCATGTAGTGTGCAATATGTCGGGAAAACCCTAACCAACTCGTCGAGCCACCTTGCTAACTCGCCCAATTCATGCAGAATCCAGAAAGCAGGAAACCCTCATCCCACTCGTTGAGTTGACTATGCAACTCGTCGAGTTTCATCAGTCCTTTTCTTATTCAGACATTTCTAAGCTAAATCAAGGTTCCAAACTATATATCTAGCTTCCTAGGGTATTGTTTCCACATAAAGTTGCAAACATTACGTGCATGTAAAGCCAAAAATACCAAAACCAAGCTAAGGAAGAGGCTTTAGGGTAAGGAAAAGGCCAAGGCTAGACAAATTCGATAACTTTATGACTAAGAGGTCTTAGAGGAGTCTAGATCTGAACTCCCCATTCCAAAATGTGCTCCATACCGGAAGAGCCTCAATATTAAGATAGAAATGGCCTAAAACTAAAGGATAAAGTGATATATTAACAGAATGATCAAGGTAATGACTTTTTACATTCAAATGTATGCCAAAATGATGTAGATACTGGATCCACAAGCCCTTTATCATTCCAAGCTGCTAGCTCTTCAAATCTCATGACGAAATGCACCAACAACACACTTTTAGCCTCACAAACACACAAAATGGTGTTAGATCGCTTAGGGTTTTCTTCTATATGTGAAAACGTGGTAAAGAGGCTGGAAGGAAGGACTTACGCTCCTTAAAATAGGGTGAAAACCCTAAAAATTAGGGTTCTTATGCACAGCCTCTACTCATCGAGTTAGGATCCTCCAACTCGTCGAGTATGTTCCATAAACCACACGGCCATATCCGTCTCTTCACGACGAGTTGGGGGCAACCAACTCATCGAGTAGGTCAAAAATGAATATTAAACTTTAAAACTTATACCTAGGAGTTGAGTGTTACAATTCTCCCCTATGTGAACTAGACTTCGTCCTCGAAGTCTACTGCGGAAAACAATTCCGGGTAATGCTCCCGCATCTCAGCCTCAGGCTCCCAAGTCCACTCTGATCTCCTCATGTGCTCCCATTGTACCTTTAAAAAAGCTACATAATGGGAACAGATTTCCATGGACTTCATAACAAAACTACCCAAGACTCACGGTGGTCATGATACCATTTGGGTGATCGTCGATAGATTAACCAAGTCATCTCATTTCTTACCGATCAAGAAAATGATAAGATGGAAAAGCTAACGAGAACTTACATATGAGAGATCGTGAGACTTAATGGAGTGCTGATGTCTATCATCTCGGACAGAGACAGTAGATTCACTTCCAGATTCTGGCAATCGTTGCAAAAATCTATGGGAACAAGGTTGGATATGAGTACAACCTATCACCCAAAAACTTACGGATAGAGTGAGAGAACGATCCAAACTCTAGAAGACATGTTGCGAGCATGTGTGGCCGACTTTGATAAAGCGTTGGATGTTCACTTACCACTAGTCGATTTCTCTTACAACAACAATTATCATACTAGTATCAAGATTGCTCCATTTGAAGCCCTTTATGGTCGTAAGTGTAGATCACCTCTGTGCTGGGCGGAAGTGGGCGACACGCAGTTGGCAAAAGGTCTAGTCCCTGATAGCACTCTCACTGGTCTGGAGATCATTAGGGAAACAACTGAAAAGATTATCCAAATTTGAGAGTGTCTGAAAACCTCTAGAGATAAGCAAAAGAGCTATTCCAACAAAAGACAAAAACCATTGGAATTCCAGGTTGGTGATCGCGTTTTACTGAAGGTCTCACCCTGGAAGGGCATGATATGCTTTAGGAAACATGGAAGACTAAATCCAAGGTACATTGGACCCTTCGAAGTTACCTCAAGGCTTGGTCCAGTGGCTTACAGACATCAACTTTTAATCGAGCTTAACAAAGTACATCTAGTGTTCCACGTATCGAACCTAAAAAAGTGTTTTTCCGACGAAACTCTTGTGATTCCACTCGACGAAATTGAACTTAAAGAAAATCTTAACTTTGTGGAAGAACCCGTCGAGATCATGGATAGGGAAATCAAACGAACTAAACAGAGTCACATACCAATAGTGAAGGTTTGCTGGAACGCTAAGCGAGGACCTGAATTCACTTGGGAGCGAGAAGATCAGATGCAACAAAAGTACCCGCATCTCTTCCCTAGTCCATTGGCACTTATTTCGTAATTAATTTTGGGATGAAATTCCCTCTAACGGAGGGATGATGTAATAACCCATTATTCCAAGTCAATGTAATGTCTAAAAGTCGAGTCTTGTAATCCCTTTGTGAAGTAATAAGAATATCATCGAAAATGAAATGTTCAAAAAGCTCCGTTTGAGTACACTATGTGGTAGATATCGTGGTAAGGTTTCCAAAAATATAAAAAAACACTAAAAATACGAGTTATAACGAAGGAGTTATGACCAATCAAAGATTCGTAACAGTACCGATAGAGCGTTGTTAAGCATAAAACGAGAAATTTCAATAAAATACTTTTTAGCCATAGGTATCTAATGAAAGCTGTAGATATCATTAAACTGCGAACATAAATATAAAGAACGCCCAAATCTGATTTCGTACGAGGAAGTTATGATTTTTTGAAGTTTGGGACCTAGCAGTAGAAAACTAAAAACTCGAATTAGAGATCGAGCGATTTTCAGCTAACACAACCTTAAAGAAAGTTGAAGACCTCGACGCTAGGAATACAACAGTAAAAAGACTGATGAAAATGGTCATCAGATGAAGAAGTTATGGAATTTAAATGGACTTCACCTGACACGGCCTACTAAAAATAATATAATAAAAATAAAGTCAAAACTAGCCGACGAAGTCTAAACGAGAGTTGTAGAGCATTCTCACACCTACGGCTGCATATAAAGAACATCGAAATCAAAGGTTGTACGCAAAAGTTGCGGATTTTTCAAGTTCGGGACACAAAACCCGAGGCTGACTCAGCCTCACGACGTGAACAGTTCCATATTCAAGACGTGAGACTGTGGCTGATGGGTTGCAAAGTGTCAGCCATGTCAAATCGTCTAAGGGGATAGAGCTGACTCAGCCTCACGACGTGAACAAGGCTATATTCACGACGTGAGACCCCAAAACCCTCCTTGTAAATAGAAGCTTAGGGGTGCCGGGTTTAGTACTAATTTATTTCCATCTAAGTAAAGTTGCCCTGCGTTTATACCTCTCGAAGCCTTCCCGAAACCCCAGTTTTCATACTCAAGATCCGAAGGAAGTTCTACAGTCCTGAGATTCCAGAGAATTTAACTCTCACTAGTCGCAGTTCTGCTCGATTCTTCTCTCGACTACTTCAAAACAACCACTTCAATCAAGTGAGTTCATACCCCTTTTATACACCTTCAAATACTATATAATGTACTTTTAATACACTTTGGGGGAGAATACAAGTAAACACACGGTTGATCCTGAGTGAAAACGTGAAAACTCTTGTTATACTTTGCATGCATTAGATTTCTAACAAATACATAGTATCCAGGGTAGCCATCCTTGTTAAACCATTTTATGCATTCAAAGAACTTGTGACTTATGTTGTGTCAAACATTGTGAAAGAGGATAAACATTGCATACAAAACTATTATTTTAATACAGACTTAGTTGAGAATCCGTGAGATGATTACATCTTCAATGCTACCTTTTTGTTAAAAGGTACTACCTAAAGTCCTGTCTATTATAACCGGAGTCTCCCGTTTAGAGAGTGTGTCAAATGTGTATAGATCTATACGGGAAGTCATGTTCCCGCATCCTGACTATTAGCTATAGTCCTTTGGGTGATAGTTTGTCATAATGTTTCAACGCCTGAAGACCATCGCCACAAGCATATCATGTTTAGTATGGTTATAAAACTCACTGGATGGACAATTATTATGGTATTCTGCTGTTATGAATGAGTAGCTACTAAAACTATTCTTCATCTAACAAATGTGATATTCTTATAACTTTATTAATTAAAACTATTCCTCAACCTTTTAAGCATGTCAGTTGCTTGCAATTTGTGTCTTGGTCATTACAGACTGCCTGTTACTTTAGGAAAATAAGGGATTTTCCTGTATTCAAAACAGTCAACTAA